GTGTGTTTGTATGTCCACATTTTTTCGTTTACGTTTTCGGGCGCACGGATGAACCGATTTGAATGGTTCAAAAAACATTCGATTTTCATTGATAGGGAGATGTGCTGATTAGTTTTTGGCAAAGGCAGGTCTAGCCGTTACGGAGATAAAGAGCAAAGAGTGCAGAAAATAGAAATTGAGTTTTTGAGAGAACAATTGCTTGTGGATTTTTTTTTTAAATTTGTATTTCGAAAATAATTCAGATTTTAATTTTAATTCTTGCTAAAGTTCTAAAGCTCACTTCATATACTTCAAATAAATAATTTTAACTTTGCGATTCAGTTTTTATTATTCTTATAAATATTAGAAAATGTTACAGTATTTATTTATAATCTATTTGAAAACCTTTAATATTTCTCGAACATTTAGTTACGGTACGGGAAGTTCCAGCAATTTGCCTTAAGGCACGATGCCATACACCACTAGTTTTTAGTTTATTTAGAAATTTTGAGATTAAACACTTATTGCATTTATGAAGAGTCAATACCATTATTAAACCTGATTATAATTACATGAAAATTATTCTTCGATTATTCTTATACGAAAATAATGTTTTAAACTTTGTATATAATAAGAACTAAAATTTAACAATAAAATATTTTGCATCAATTAATAATACTTCACATTGCCGTTCTACTATTGTAGAGGATTAATTTTATTATTCAATTTTAGCCTCTTATTTGTCTTTTATTCAAATTATATGGCACCCTTTTAGGTATATGGATATATTTATATGGACTTCTGGATTTATTCCATAGTTTTCAAACGGTAAAAAATGATTGTTTGTATAACATTTAATATTTTTGCCGCTTCTTTCAGTCAAAGTGTCGTCATCATCTAATATAGCTTGCAATTCTCGTCTTTCGTCATTTCTGAACTGTTGAAATCATATTTTGCATGTTGCTCCTGATAGAGCATGATCGCCTTGTGTAATTTTTGATTATCGTAGTTATGAATATACCCCATTGCTATTAAATAAAATTTTGCACTTGAGCTGTTCACATTTGAACACAATTTCATTGTAGATGTGTATTTTTGCATAGAAAGTACAAATTAATTAAATTTTGTGGATCATTTTGTACTTAGTAAATCTTTTGCTTAGCTGTAACACGATGCAAGAAAACTTCTGTATATGTTGAATGATTCTTCATACGATTAGAGAAGTCGGACACATGATGATATGTCTTATCCTCGAATATAACTTCGAGGGAGGTGTTACATCCTCGGATGTAACTAACTACGCAGTTACCCAACTTTCTCTCTCTGTTATATATATATATATATATATATATATATATATATATATATTTCTTAGCCATCTTCTCCTTACCCCAATATTTCCATGTAAAGATAACCTCGTTTAGCGCTGTTTCGCATTACATTCTACTTTGATGGAAGGTTAAGCGAGGTATTACTACACACACACACATATATATATATAAACGTTATATGAACGTTTTTCATAAACGGATAGAACATCTCTAACACTACGCCTTACTTTTGAGCTCCGGTCAAAACTCGGATCATTTTCAATGAATTGATCCATTATTTTAGCTTCTTTTTGCAAACGGCATCGAAAGTTCTTTTTGCTCTGAATCGCTACTGTCAGCATTTTTGTTTTCTTCTTGTTCAGTTAATTCCAAGACCTCATCATTAGAAAGACTGCGCTGCTTTTTGAATTATTTACCCCTTCAAAACCTGGGTTGAAATAAGAGCACGAAATCGAAACAGCACTGAACAAAACAGTGTAAAGCATTTTTATCATATTTTGATACTTGCTTAATTTTAAAAAGCATTTGGAGTTTATAAACCTAATCTCGCTCTGAGAAATGCGCTAAGAATTTCGCCGAGAAAGTTTTTACCGTCGTACGCTCTTACATAATTTGTCATCGAATTTTCACGAGAAAAATACAAGTAAATATGCAATATATTATATAGACATATAATCTTTGAAATGCAAAGCGATTTTGCCGATTGTTTACATTGTGTTTTAGTGGGATGCATATGCAAAAAAAAAAAAACATTTGTAGATAGTAGTGGGCCACTTGCGTAATGCCGTTCTTTGCACAGCGAAGTGTTTTTATAAATTTATCGAACGTCTTATTTATTTACTTATTTTTATCCCTTCAGCCATAATGCCTTTAAAAAAAACAGAAAACTCTAAAAAGAGTGGTGAATTATGAATAATTGGTTATTGCTATGAAGGAAGTGAAAATAATTAACATACGGAACATGTTGCTTCTGCTGTTACCAACGTTAGCAGATAGTCTTTTCAACGCATCAATACATCCCCTAAAAACAGAGACGTCACGGCAGAATCAGCACAGGGTTAAAAATCACAAGTACCAGCAAAAGTTTTCAAGAAGGCCAATACTTCATAATCAGCTGCGAAAGAGGCAAAAAATGAAATTCTTCGGTTTCTTCAAGTGAAGACACCAATTTTGGAATGATTTGCAATAAATTGATTCTGGCAGAGTTGTCAAGAAAAAATTTCATCATTGCTTGAATGTTACAAAATGCTTTTTTCAGCAATTTTATCATTCCAACTTTATTACTTCATTTCAGACATTAAATGAACTTTTTTACTGAAGTCACTGTTTTCTCAATTTCTACCTTCATTTTGTGTCAACGATTTTGAATTTTGTAAATTTGACAACGGATTCGTAATCAGGGCATTTTAAAACCTTCAGGGTGAGAATTTGTAGCGTATAGCAGCATTTTTTTTCAGATAAAAATTTGGGTGGCCCACTTCTCTCTACATTTTCGGGAAACACGGTCAATACACTTTTTTGCCATTCAAAAATAGAAATACGAGGTCTGTTCAAAAAGTACCCGGAATTTTCGTTTTTTCAAAAAATATTTATTTATTCGTCTACATTAATGTGGTCCCTTCAAAGTAGTCCCCCCCAGATATAATACACTTATGCCAGCGATTTTTCCAATTTTCGAAGCACCCTTGATATTCACTTTTTGATATGTCCTTGAGCACTCTCAGCGATTTTCTTCAATCGAGGAAAACCGCCGTCCTTTCATGGGTCTCTTCAACTTTGGGAATAGGAAAAAGTCACACGGAGCCATATCTGGTGAATTTTTGCACTTTGCAACACTTTATTTCATTTTTTACGCAAAATTTAATACAAATTCTTTGACTTTTCAATTCTTCCATTGTAAAAATCGCCGAGCTCAGAAAAACACGTCTTAACAACAAAACAACCTTAGCGACTACCACAGACAAAGTAAACAGTGAATATAGCTGAAAATTTCATCATACTTTAGGGGCATGTATACCAACACAATAAAAAAAAAATTTTGACAATCAGACACTCCAGACCCGCGAAATTTAATTATTAGTAATTCCGGGTACTTTTTGAACACACCTAACGTACTTCTAAAAATAATTGCAATCATCCGCTATGATAAATGTTGCGTTTTGAAATACCCTTGAAACTAAAAAAAAATTGAGAAAATATTTGCATTTTTAACCGGTTTACAACCAAAAATAAAAACGTGGCCCACCCATATATATATATATATATATATATATATATATATATATATATATATGCAAAGAGTACAGAGAATAGAAATAGTTTTTGAGAAAACGGAGTATCCGATTTGAATGATTCAAAAAACATTCAAATTGTAATGATTGGGATAAGTGGTGATTAGTTTTTGGCAAAGAAAGGCTCAGTCATTTCGAAGATACAAAGCTAAATGTACAAAAAATAGCAGTTTTTGAGAGAACTAAGCACCTGATTTGAATGATTCAAAAAACTTTCTGCTTGTGTTGACAAAACAATTGCTTTTGGGATTTTTTTTGTTTCATTTTTTCCAACACATTTTTTTCAGATTTTAATTTTAAATCTGTCTAAAGTTCTATAGCTCGTTTACATACTTCAGATAAGTAATTTTAACTTTGCAATTCAGTTTATATAATTCTTATAAATATTAGGCAATGTTACAGTATTTATTTATAATTTCAATTTATTTATAATTCATAATAATTTATTTGAAAACATTTAATATTCCTCGAACATTTCGTTACGGCACGGGAAGTTTCAGCAATTTGCTTTAAGGTGCCATGCACTGCTAGTTTAAATTTGTGTTTATATAAATAAATTATGACTAAATTATGTAATACACCTATCCCCCATTTTACAGGGTGCTCGTTTTCGATCTTACACGGTTTCTGAAAATATTTTTTAACGAAATTTAATAATTTTGAATTTACACGTTATTATAATCACTGAACTATAATTTGCTTATATCTACAATAACATGTTCATTGTTTTACTGTCAAAATTTAACACTACAAAATGTATGTTACAGTTACGAATTCTTAGTAGTCTATAATGGAAATCTATAGATTAAGATGGTAACTTTTCGTTTTGTGATCAAAACTAAATTTTATGTGTATTATATCAAAACAAAGAGCGTCATTGTTTTTCTTTCTTTTTAATTAGTGTTTATATATATATATATATATATATATATATATAATTGATAGCGTAAATTTATTCAAAGTGAACAAATAACAATCATTTTTTACACAATCTGTAAATTATAAAAAAAATTATAGTTCGACAATAGCAAAACATGAAAATAAATAAGGAGTAAAAGAACAACAAACTAATTTAAATTTTTATCTATAAAGAACATGCTATATATTTTTATTTTGTTTCTATTAAAAAAAATTATTAAACTTAATTAATTTTCTTGATAATTTATTGAATATGTTTGATATCAAATATTTTTATTATTTTTTGTTCAATGCATTAGTTATACATCATATTAAAAACTTGCAGAAAGGGCTTTTATATAATGATTTTCGTTTAGCACGGTTTTTCCATATAAAAGTGAATTTTTCGAGTTACACGTTTTTTCTGGAACTTATCTTCTGTGTCAAACGGCAGATGGGTTTATACATATATGTAATTAATATATATTTAATATCTTTCCAGTTTAATGACCAAGTTCTCGAAAAAATTGGTGTCTAAGTGCATTTACGTTCAGATTCTGAAACGATCAGACACCCGATTACTGGAACTATTTATGTCGTCAGGTGGTTGGACTCTTATTCATATGTGGCTCAGCGACGGCATAATGAATAAAAATTGGGCTTTAGTCCAAGAATTATTGGAACTCTTGTTATTATCGCCTGTCGATGTGGAGATATTGAAAAGCAACAACTGCCCCAAACTGATCAAAGGACTCTCAAGAGATGAAAGTCAAGAAGGTAAGTTACTAATAGATAATAGTGAAGTCAATGGGATAATTGGAGTGCTATTCATTGACTTCAATCACATGCTGTTGTGACACTCCAAATTTTACAAATTTTGTCTTTATCAACAATTTTTGATATTATTACAAATTTTGTCTTTATCAACAATTTTTGATATTATTACAAATAAATTTTAGTGCCAAAAGGTGAAATATAAACATTATCATTATTAAATATGTACCTTACTATTGCTTTTTTATTATTGCATATTTTAATATTTAGTAATTTACAACAATAAATAACTGTTTATACTCCATGTTCCATAGGAGTGCGTCTTTTGGCAGGTAAGCTGGTGGAGCAGTGGTTGCGTTTAGTAAAAGGGGAATCTGTGAAACCAATTCATACACCTGTTGCAAATCAGAATTCTATTTCTGAACGGGTTGAATTTTCTAAAGTGACAGATATTAGTACAATTGAAGAAAATAAAGATATGCATGTAGTAGAAATGAAGGATAATGCCCCAGTTGAGGATGTTTCTCTTCCCACATCTGAAATGGTAGTTAAGGCTGAAGAAGAGCCTAGCATTGTGACAAAAGATGTAGTTGATAATGTTGTAAACGAAGTTGTCGAAGATGAACAGCAAATGGAAAGTGTAAATAAAGTTGAAGAAGAAGAATCTGCAGCTAATTTAAAACAAGATAATTCTAATTCTAATGAAATCTTACCTGACCCGGTGAGTAGTAATAAAGAGGCAATAGAACTGAAAGAATCGATCAAAAAGGAGAAAAAAGAAAAATATAGTAGTAGCCACAGATCGAGTTCTAGTAAATATTCAAGTAGTAAAAGTTTAAGTTCCAGTAGTCATCACAGAAGCAAAGACAGAGAAAGAGAGAAACGATCATCCAGCTCAAAAAGTAGCACTAGGGATAAGGAGAGGGACAGGGAAAAAGAAAAGGAGAAAGAAAAAGAGAAGGAAAAGGAGAGAGCTAGATCTAAACAGGAAGAGAAAGATAAAGCGACATTAGATAAACTCAAGCCAAAGACTTTAAGTAAACTTGGAAAAATTCCAAAAAAATCGTCAAGCAATGAAGAGAAGAACAGTAGTAAATTAGAAGAAAAGGGATCTAAAAGTGATAAAACAACTAAAGTGGATGAAAAAGCAAATAAAGTTGAATCTAAAAAACCTTCCATATCTATTGAAGTTCGAAAAAATGAGGGAAATCGACCAAAAACTGTTAAAACTTTTAATTCCAAATTCCGATCTCATGGTTTAGAGGAAGAGGCTAAACCTCCACCACCTAGATCAGTGAAAAAGTCTACGAGTACCACCGTCTTACCCTCTATACCGCCTCCCGTAAAGAGGCCTTCGCCACCACCGCGATACGATAACATGGCACCCCCAGAAAAGGCTGCCAAACTTGCCGATGCTCCTGTACAAGCAAAGCCGGGAGCCATTAAGCTGATTCCTGCTAAACCTAAACGTAAGTATCATTTTTGCAATAACAAACTTACTATAGTACAAATTGTTTACAGGTCTAAAGTTTGGATCTAGTTGCAAACTGTTAATTTCAAAGGCATCATCAATTCGACCATGATGTATTTGCCGAAGTCATCATGAATTAACAATTCGAACAATCATCTACAGCTATAGTTTTATTATTTTTTTAGACTTTTTTGCCAGGTGTTTGTGCTTCAACAGTATCCATCTGATGATGAATGCCAATTTGTTCGATTAGTGTTAATGTTTAATGGGTTTAATATTTTATATTAATTTTTCAGGTTTTTGCAATTATTTATTTGTGTATGTATTACTTTAATGTATGTACGTGTATAGGTATATATGCAAGACAGAACCAAGTCTTCAGATCTGGCAGGTTAGGTTTCCATTTTTTGTATGCTAGTAGACACACTTATATATATATATATATATATATATATATATATATATATATATAAATCAGTGTGTCTGTGTGTGTGTGTCAATATGATTTTTAAAAGGCAATGATGCCTAGTTTGAGTCTCAGTAAATTTATGTATATTTTGAAACAGATGTAATTTTATTACATTAATGTTTTTTATTAGTTAAAAAGTAACTTAATTTATTTAAGAAAATAAGACTTCATTTGAATAGTTTGAGGATCATAATGAATTTGAATATCTTGTAGTTAGATTTTTACAGTCGATTGAAATGGTATTGAGACATTTGTTATATATGCGTACATATATTAATTACACACATATATAATTATATATATATATATATATATGTAATTATATATATACACATGACACACATTGTGTATACATTTATAATTTGTGTGTTTGCTTTTTAAATATTAAATCGTCGATAAATTATAGTATACATTATTTGCTTCTTTATCAAATATTCATATTCATCTATATATACTGTAATCAATTGAAAATAAACACAAATTTGATAATTTGTAAATGTAAATATTTTCTTCTAACAATTAACTAAATTTGCTCTTATTTTCTGTTTAGTATTACTAACAAGAATATAGAGTTCATGATATATGGTCATGTGCCTAAATGTTGTGTTCACATAAATATCCTGTTTTAGACACCGTAAAAATAATTTCAAACAATTACGAAATTGATTCAATCCTTCTGCACTTCAATCATATGGCAAACAGCTTTGTCGAGTATTGTTTGTGTGCTCGATGGCGTATCGGTAGCGCGCCCGCTCCGAGTGCTGAAGGTCGTCTGATCGATTTCCCAGTCTGAAGCTGCGGTAATAAAATGCTCAGGTCTGCTGAGCATAGTATTGTGGAAAGGAAAAATTTCTTACAGATGTACAATATAGGTTTTATATTGCATGATAATAATTCATTATATAAACCTGCAATTTTCTGAATCTAAAAAAAATTAAAACCCATTTGTCATTTTTTCGTTTTTGAATAGTCATAAATAGATGTGGTTTCAGCATTATAAATTCTTATATAAGCAGTGGTATTGAGATTGACTAATCGCTCTTTAAATAATTGTAAAGGGCGTCTTCAAACAATACGATTATTTTGCCTGTAACTTGCCTTTTCATACTAAAATTAACACAAGTGTAATCACTAATGAAAAATATCAACCTTTATTAAATTTGTTTTTTAGGAATGATAGGAAAATATCTTAACAATTCTAAATATTTAATTATAATAATACAAAGGCAAAATACAAAAATTTTTACGAAAATTTAGGTTGATCGTACTTACGATTTTTGTTCAAATTTACTGAAAGAATATATATATATATATATATATATATATATATATATATAAAGTAATACGTAAAGCTTTTGTATATCTGTGCGTGTGTATGTATGTGTAGTATGCACACTTAGCCTCCGTGCTTAACGCTGTGTTAAATGGAGCATTTTTTTATGCAGAAAATTTAAGATATAAACCCTGCTTTTAATTGAAAGACTGATATGACAGACTTTTAGATATAATGTTCATTTACAAATTTGCCATTCAAGAAACGTATATAACAAATTATTCCTTTGTTTTAAGTTATTGCTAGTTTGAAATTCATAATTTATTCTGTTTTTTTTTATTAAATTTTTCAAACACATGGACGATTCAATGAAAATGGAATTGAATGGACGCAAGCATCGGGCAGAGCTGTGTGGATATATTTATATAAGTCTTATGATTGCGAAAAAAGCGTGTATCTGGGCAGATGTATATTTCGAGTGTATGCGGTAATATATATATATACATATATATATAATTTATATTTATATATGTATGTATGTATAAACTTTAGGTATCGCGTTTTTGACTTAAATTAAATTCCAATACTGTTTAAATTCACATTACTTTTAAAACGAGTGATTTTAATAGCAATTCAGCGATTAGTTACAAAATTTTATTGTAAGTTTTATATAGATATCGCTTTATTTTTCCAACGCACATCCGTATTTGCTACTTTTTTTTTGTAATGCTTTACGTGATTTTTGTGAGTTCCTGTTTTGTGCCTCAACAATACAAGAAAATTTAGTTGGTAAGTATTTTTGAAATAATGTAGTTATTATTAATAATGAAAGTAGTTGAAAAATTAATTTTCAATCTAAATAAAATTGAGTATAGTAATCGCTCTTTTATGTCTAATTTCCATCACTTTAGAGTGCTTAATTTCAAGATACATTTTTTTTTGACAAATAGTTTATGGCGAAAATAAATATTTGAAAAAAATTTCGACCGTTAAGTTGCGAAGATTTGCACGCCGCACGAAACCATGCTGTCGGATACTGTCGAAAGGAAGAAGATGCACGTGAGTAGTGCCTGAAATCAGTTTCTGTTGGCTTTTATCAACATTACCAATTTTGATTGTTATTTTTTTTTGTCTATTCTAAATTTAAATTCGTGGAATTCTAAATTAATTTAGATTTTTTTTAATGCCGAACAGGAGGCGTTTGTACACATTTTTTAACATTTTGTGTTATTTTGTTGTAGGTGTAGATGAATCTTCAGAATGTAGAAGGGAGTATTTGAAGCTCTTTGCCAAAATTAATTTACAATTGAAGGAACCCTGTAATATGTCGGTTTGCCTCAGGCTGTGGATTGTAGGAATATAGGAAGATTCGTGTTCGTCATTGTGTGAGACCTTCTTTATATGTACATTGATCATAATAAATTTACTATTAGTTAAGTTACAATTTAATTCATAGTTTAAAAACTATACTCTACAGTAATCAGTAAAAACATCTTAACAATTTTCTTCACTTATGCAAAACTTCTAATAGGAACAAAGTTTGAATAAATGTTTGAATGAATTTATAATATATATATATATATATATATATATATATATAAGTTAATATTCTCGACAATAGACACATATATAATATTCTATTTATAAAGATCAAAATTTTATTTGTATTTTATCGGGATAATTTAATCAATTTAACTTCATTAATGTTCACTTATTTTTGATAAAATATTTAATATTGAATTGCTATTGAAAAGTATTCACTTTCAATTTTTTTAATACATTTTTGTTCAAATTGTTAATTGTTGCATGTAAATATGTATTAATGTTTGTTTTTCTTTCAAAATTAGAAATGATACTGATTACAGATTCTAAAAAAATATTTCATATACCTATTTTGCTTTGAGAAATTTGAGAAAAAGAATTGTGATTGCAATTTTTAATCTACTCTAGATTATTTATTTTATAACATTACTGTCTTACGTAATTTCTAATAAGTTTCATTGAAATATTCAACAAAAAAAATTATAGTAGTCACTACAATTGTATGTAGGCCTTGGTTTCGAGGTGGACAGTGTGCCAAACTCGGAATAAATAGCGTGCATAATTTTTGCGCAAATCTTAAAATTCGGTAAAGTTAAAAATCGTGCACCTGTCTAGTAAAGATAAAGTCTACTTTTTATTCTTTTAATTAGGATTAATGAGTAAATTTATTTAAAGACTCATTTAATAAGTAAATACACACACACACACAAGTAAAATTTGTTATATGAAGCATAAACACATTTTGAACACTTTGAGCGCAATATTTGCTTCTGCATAAGTAATTTTAATTATTATAGTAAAATTAGTTACATTACTTAATATTTTATTCAACAATTCGCATTAATTAAATTTTAATGCATGACTATTTTCAGTTAAATATTCGATCAAAAAGATAGTTTGAAATAGATATACGACGGGGTCGTATTTAAAGATGTTTTTCTACAAAATGTACACAATTATTAAGCATGATACAAATACCACAAAAATATTTTCCATTTTTTCAAAATGTTGGATAATCACAATGTATTTTTCATACTCATAATTTTTATTTTTTGGAATAATCGGACCGCTAGTTCGATCCAATTTGATGATGTATATAGTCCGTTATATCGGGATAGACGCAGATATTTAGATAATATTATTTGGTCCTGTTTTTTTTTTTTAACTAATTTTGGCCCTGCATCCAGCTGAAATATAAACTTGTCTCTTTCTAAGGAGCTATCTGTCTCTGTCCGTCTGATTTCGTCATGGTTGCGTTGTTTACACGTGGCTTTTCCTCGTTTGTTGGCCACAGGCCATAGGCCGGCGGCCGTTGGTTATGGGCCATACGAATCGAATAGAATCTTATAGCTGTATTATAGCCGGACTTACAGCTGTATTTATATGAAATTATTTCAATTATGCTTATATATACATATTTATATATAAGCACACATATATATATATATATATATATATATATATATATATATGAAATTTAATCTTTAGGCCAATACATAAATTAAAAACTTGTAGGAACTTATTGCATTTGTATTGTTTCCTTACGTTTCGACACATTGTTTTGTGTCATCTTCAGTGGAATGTCACTTTAAATCGGAACAATTATATAATTTTTTAGGAAGAATTTCTTATTGTAAAGAGTACATGCTGCAACGTCGATGTTCGATGCGACAGTGATTATTAGGAATTAATTAGGAATATTACAATTACATTCCACTGAAGATGACACAAAACAATGTGTCTAAACGTATGTAAACAATAAATAAAATAGTATTTAGTTAAGCAGGATGATTCTGCCTCATGACGAACAGAGCACTAAATCGTTTTCTGGCGCAACCATATATTAGTTTTAGAAAGCGCTTTGTAATATATATATATATATATATATATATATATATATATATATATATATATATATATATATATATAATAATAAATATTTTTGTATTCTTAAAATTGTATATATCTGTCAATATTGTATGAATACATATAATGAAACATCCAATAGTTGTTTTTTTTAATTAATCGATACACACGCACACACACACACACACACACACACACATATATATATATATATATATATATATGTGTGTGTGTGTGTGTGTGTGTAAAAATATATTAGGATTGTTGGCGGTGAGCGGATTATATATTTAAATTCAAAGTTATATTATTCAAAAAAATATATTTTTGCGCACATCTAAGTAATTTTTTCTTTCAATTACAGCTTCTATGTTGGTGGAAAGTGATATGTTTATGGATGCTTTGAGTGCTTCTGCATCGAATAAGAAGGAACCCCGTAAGCGAAAGCGGAAATTAAGCATATCAAAAGATTCCGAATCTGAACTGCATTCACCCGGAATTAATACACCTAGTCCTTCTCGAAATCCGAAATTGGAAGAGCTCTCGGACATAAACTCTACCACCCAAGTAGAGAATAATGATGTCACAAACGATATTAATATTCCTGCGCCTCCCAGATTTTACCAGGATACACTGGAGAACACGGACGAGGAAAAGGAGACTGAAACAGAAAAAGAAGCAGATCAATCGATCGATGAACAACATCAGGAAATTGAATCGCCTAGCAATTCTGAAACGGAAAAAGACAATAGTACAGATAATGCAACGAGCGTTGAAAGAGTCAGCCAGGAGCCTTCGCCTCTTAAAGGAGTATTACTCAGTTCGAAGCGCAAAGGACCGAAAAAGAAATTGCAATGGCGTGCAGAGGAGGAGCTAGTTGATATACAATACTTTGAATTAGATGAAACAGAACGAGTGAACGTTACGAAGACGTTCACCGACATGAAGCAAATGGAACGAGTTAACGAACGAGAAGCTTTCCAATTGGCTCGTAAATTGCCAAACGAAGATACCATGGAAGAAAGGACATCATGGATGATTTTAATACCTGTCGATGACGTGGCTCCTATAAACTTTGGTAAAAACAGCCGAGAAAAGGATGTACAATATGCGCGAGAGAGGACGGTTGCGCCAGCTATGTACTACCACAGAATGATGATTCCTGAGTCACCTGCTGAGCCCGATCCCGAGTTATATAGCGTTTCCGATCCGACGATAATTCCGCTGGATGATGTCACCGGAAATCCAGATACAGTGAACGATTTCCAGAATACGCCTTGGCCGGAACCAAAAGGTCAAGCACCCGTTCAAGTAATGACGGCACCTGTTACAGCTTTTCCGTCAGTGCCGCCCATGATGCCTTTTGGTCCTCACGGTCCTGGTATGGGCTTTTCAATGCCTATGTTTCCAGGTCCCATGGGACCTCCTCCTTTTTCTAACCGTCCGAACAACGATTCTATGCCACCCATGAATCCAGATATGATGATGAATGGCGGCATGTTCCCACCTCACATGGACGGTTCTTCCGATGGCGGTATGATGCAGCAAATGAATAACTTTGGCCCACCTTTCGGTCCACCATTCGCCGGTCACAACCCGCCTGGATTTCCTGGAAACAGGCCAATGCGACCTATGAATAACATGGGCAATATGGGAGGCCCGCGAGGGCCGCCGCCACCGAATTCAGGCTGGTTTCGAGCGCCAGGTTCGAGGGGGCCACCCATGGGACCGCCGCATGGCGGACCTGGACCGGGTTGGCAAAATGGACCGCGAAAGAACTGGAATCCCAGAGTATGCAAGCAATTCTTTCGTAAGGGTTTTTGTAATAAAGGAGACAATTGTTTGTTTTTGCACCCGGGTGTTAATTGTCCGCCGCTTTAGAGACGTTGAGTAGACGAATGCCTAATATCTGTGATTTTAATATGTTATTATGTAGTGTATTATGAAACTGTATATATGTATTGATTGTGTTGATATATGTGCATACTCACATATGCACATTCATCTATTTATAGGCGTTGTAGCTATGACTTATTTTAACCCTTATTTTACTCAATACATTTCCTCGATTAAGTTTCATATTGTGTTCGGGAGCTTTTATATTATTGAACAATGCTAATGAATATTGTAGTTTAAATTAAGATCTAATTAAGTGAATAACAAAAATATTCGTTATATAAAGACGCACAACGGTTGATATTGTTTATAAGCAATTTATGACGAAACTGTTAGTGACATGGTTATTTTTCGTTTTGGGGGAAAGATTTTTTAGATTGTTATGATATATATTTTACGAATATTGATCCATATTATGCAATAATCGAATAGAGAACTATGGAACAATGTTTGTGAACTAAAACTTGTTATACCAATTATTATTTATATGATCATTTTAGATGACTTGCCATATATAATGATTAATTCTTACATGTATTTATAAATATTGTATATTTGCATTATATATACATATATATATATATATATTCATATATATATATATATATATATATATATATATAATATATATATTTATATATATATATATATATATATATATATATATACACCATTGTATGTAGATATGATTATGCATTAACTAGTCTTTCTATTCATGTGTCCTTCATCTGTCCTTATAATATTACTAAAACTGCTACTGTTGATCACTAATTGCTTTATAGGATATAAATCAAATAACTTAGATTTAAATGCAAGTTTTTCGGTAATGAAATTGGTATCTTAAATTTTTAAAATGCTAATTTTGCGTGATACGTTTATTTCAGCTGGTTTCTGTTTTCGTACGTTTAAAATGGAAAATATTCAAAATTAGATTCAATAGGTACAATAAATGTAAATAAAGAAAATTGTTTTCTTGTATCTTGTATATTTGAAATGTATGTATGTATGTTTTATGCTTATGTATTGATAAATGAATATGTATAATATATATATATATATATATATATATATATATATATATATATATATAATGTGTGTGTGTATAATTTGTCGTTTTGTATATATGCAATTAGATCTAAGAATTTATTCATTTTGAACATGTTTATACGTTGTATATATAATAATGTATATTTTATATCTTTATATTTTTATGACGTAAGATGTTGAAAAATAATTGAATTATAAGAATAGAGTTAAGCTGACTTCTAATTGTAAGTATAGTTTTATATCCCAGGTCATGTATGAAACGATACGTTTTGTTGTAAATATCTCTTACGTTTTCTTTATTTCATGTTTTATATAGAAATGTAAATAATTTTTTATATATGCTCTACTCGCCTATGTGAAAATTATGTAAAAATTATGTGAAAAGTTTCATAGCATGCGTTTTGTACTTCTATAATTATATAGATATATTTATTGAAATAAAATGTATTTGTTTTTTAAATAGTTTATTTATTGAAGTCATTTTTTTAATAACAATTTGTACATTACATAATATATTAATCAACCGAAATTGAGATTTAGATATTTACTTAGATTGAATTTTCAACTATTTATTTAGAAAAGTTTCCGATTTAAATTAAATCTAAACATTACGATTTCCAATTGATTTCTCTCAAACACATTTTAATTATCTGTCATTATATTAATTATAGTGCACAAACACGTGTTTGTGTGTTCTAAAATTGTATTTTAACACTTTCCACTCGCGAATTCCGAGATTTATATGAATTTTGCCGCCGGAGCGGTGGCATTCGAGTCGAAGGGGTTAATATTCCAAATTTTGATTAATTCATATGATTTAATCAATTTTCGTAGGACTATTTTTAGTGCATGAATTTTATTGCCATGTTAAATTTCACGTGAAACGTCGAAACATATTTTTTTTAAGAAACATAATATATTAATTTGTGAAATATTAAGCATCTGCTAAGAAAATACTGGCACTATTACATATATCATGTGAGTCATTATACATTTCCTTATCTAGACCTTGAAATTAATCGTAAGTTTTTTACACTACTCGCGAAGTTGTGTGGGCTGCTTACTTTTTTGTTAATTCCGAAGCCATTTCTAATGGCTTGGCCCTTTATGCTTATTTATCTATGGCTTGGTCGTTTTTTTCACAAATCTAATTGCGGCTCTTTCCTATCGAATTTATTTCGATGACTCTTAAATTTGTGAAATTTAAATTTTTCACACATTTTTTTTAAACTTTGATGCATTTTTTAAATTAAACGACTTATCGTAGGGTCGTAATATTATAGAATGTCCCTGATATCTATCTACATAAAAAAGTTTAATCAAAACATTTTTTTTCAACAGTTAATTATTACGAAACGGTTCGGCCGATCATTGTCCAAAACTAATCAGCATCATCATCTTTACTACGCGACTTCATCTTTCGAGTAGTTTTTGAATGTTGTAAATCGTTTAGACTCAGATTTTTTTGGCTGAAACGTGGGCGATCTTTCTTATTTTTTGGTTTTCAATATTACAAAAAATCGGTTCGGCCGATCATCGCACAAAGCTGAGAAACGATAGTCCTTATCGAGTTACATCAAATGGTTCGATTCAGCAGTTTTTGAGAAAACCTCAAAAAATCTGGTATTTTTTTCACATTTAAAGCCGTAATATTTCAGTATGTTTTATAAGACCATTATATCTATTGCTAAAACAATGGTGCATGGCATCATGCTTGAAAAATTGCTGGAAATTTTTTTTTTAAAAAAAAGGTTTAACATTTTTTAAAAACTTTGACGAATATAGATTTTTAAGAAATTTGAAATGAAAAAAAAAATTAAAAAATTTGAAAAATTTTAAATCTAGTTTATATTTTGGAAAATTTGAAATTGGTAAGGCAAGTTACTTCAAGATTTCAAAAAAAACTTTTTTTAATTTCTAAAAAAACTTTTTTAAAACAATAAGAAAATTTGATATAAATAGCTAAAATTGTAAAGCTTTCTTATATACTTGAAATAAATATTTTAACTTTGCAATTCATGAATATATATTTGCGGATAAAAAATTATTTTTGAACATTTCTATTCAAACCTCGCGCCATCAGTAGAAGCATTTCGGGCAATACTTGTTTTTTTTTTATTTATTTATACTTAAACATTTATTAATGAAATGAAATAATTTTAACAGAGATCAAAATAATTAGTGCGTAATTTCGATTTTTATTTGATTTTTTTTAAATAAAAATTTTGAAAAAATGAGATTTTTGAGAATCTTTTAAAAATTTTGACTTTTTTGTAAAATTTGATTTTTTTTGTCTCGAATTTTTTTTGAAAATTTTGAATTTTTTTCAAAGCAATCATGCTACGCGGCTATTTCAGAGAAAAAATACCGAAGCGCCGCGCCGCAGTATAACGGATAAACTTTAGAAATGTTAACAAAATGTATACTTATTATATTATTCGTATTCTAAAATATAAGATAATTTGATGTAACGGTTCTCTCTCAATATAGCTTTTGATAGCCCTCATAAAAAACGACCGATCGGTATGTCACAATTGCAATTTTAAACGAACATATACACCACATTGGTTTATTATTGTCACAGCGGGGATGTTGGCAGGGATTTATATAGAATATTGCTACAACATCACGTGCTTACTGGGCAATTTATTTAATTCTTAAAAATATGATTTAAAAAATATCTAGATTAAGTTTTGTTTGTTTGGTTTTTCATGTAAACCTATTAAACGTCGTCGTCCAATTTATAAGCCTACACATTTTGTCTACAAAATATGAATGCTGAAAATTACAGAATTTATAATAATCTTTTGAAAATTATGGTACGAGAAGTACCAGCAATTTGCCTTAAAGCACGACCCCATTCACACTAGTTGTTTTAAATTTAAGATTTTGCTTCCTTTTAATATTAGTTCAAGTTTAAGTTTATGATCGAACATGTATATATATAGTTAAAAAGAGTGCGCGTAAGGATCACACGCGATTGAAGTAAAACTTTTAAATTGTATGAGTAGGCAAAAACGATAAAAATAAAAAAAAAAACATCATATTGAATTTTAAAAATCATCTTTTAATAATCATATAACATCAATAATAATAAGATCTCCTGAGCATCGGCACAGCTGTCCTACTGATATTAAGAGTTTGAATATGATGTGAAGCTTTCTTCCTAATTTTGTTACCTATCTTACCGGGAAATTCAAACCATAAACGTAGAAGTTCATCATTACCGCCAAGTTGTATGTACACTAATTTTCCTACACAACCATTAGCTAAGCCATCACTTACATCAATATTAGTTGTTATAATGTAAAATTTATTCAGAACTAAAATTATTTCATACGGCAAACCCCCGGTATCAATAACCGATTTTTGTGAAACTGCTGACGAATGTATGATTGTTGATCTGTCGCATGGCAACCTACATAAATATCCGTGGCAGTAGATATTATTTTGTCTTCAACGAGATTCAATATAAATTTATTATATTCCATGGCACATTTATTCTCTAAGAAAAGTCTTATTCCATGAGGACATTACATAAAAAACGTGATTCAATTAATGCAAGTTCATATAGGGTTTAGCGCTCGACTTACGCATGACATGACGGGAGTGGATACTCGCGACATCAGCGCTTACGGCGTCGTAGTGTTCAACTACACGTTGGCATTTTCGTTGCATTTGTACGGATTTACACCCGTGTCGCGCCTAAAAATTTTTACACCCATATCGCGCCTAAAGAAGTTTTACTTCAAAAACAGATTAAAAATTAAAATTATACTATTTTACAGGGACTGAAGATCTATATAATATAGTAGGTACTTTTTTTTGTTAAATTTTGGCTTTTGAGTAGATAACCATTCCCAAGATTATACTTATGATAGACAAATAAACATGCTTATAAGATTCATTCAAACATTTCTTTAATTCACGGACAACATTCGAATCATACTCTTCTTTTATCTATGATTCGAATACTTTTAAAAAAAGTGGATTTTTCATGCTTATCAAATACCAATGCCTAAACCCAGTGGCGTCGAAACCGTGTGGGCTGGGTAGACTTGAGCCCATTTTCCTTTTATTCTTTTCTCAAAAAACGAGCCCACTGGGTGTCTAAAAAAACGAACCCACTGCATAAAAAAAAACGAGTCCACTGGCTGTATAAAAAAAAGAGCCCACCCGACGCCACTGCCTACACCAAATGAATCGGTCAAATAAAATAAATCCATAGAATTTATAATCCATGATCGTCTCGGTGTGCGCGTATCGCATAGATAAACAAGTATAAATGGCGTATCGATTCTAACCTATCATTTCAACGCTTTGACAGTTACCCTACACTGTTGGCCGCTCTGTGCAATGTTGTGCTTGGGGACGTGTACAAGTATTTCGTTTCTGAGTTGTCAAATTCTTCAAATTTTTATATTCACAATTATAAAAAACAATAATAAAGTGTTCTATGTAATTATCGATTGAAAGTAATATAAGTACATAAATATGTTGACGAAATTTGAAACAAAATCCGCCAGGGTAAAAGGATTATCATTCCATCCAAAAAGGCCCTGGATTTTGACTAGGTATATTTGTTGTTTTGTGACGAGATATAGTATTAGAAATATAAAATTGTGTTCTATTTATAGAACGATACAGAGTTATTCAAGTAAAATTAAATAAACTAACACATTGTTTATGTTAACACTAACAATGATTAGTCTCTCCAAACAAACTGTTGTTAAATCTGATGAAATACTAAGCATTTATATGTAAAATTATTTCTTGTAATAAATTTCTGATAATTTTTTAATTTATATTAATTTAATAGCTTCCAGCCAGAATTTGACACTTCAATGTACTGATCGACTTAGTACTAGAAATGTGCATGAAAAAAATATTGTCTAAATGAGTGTCTATGTCATTCATTATTTCTACTTCTTTATAATTACAATTACAAGATCATTAAAAGTTTTCGCAGAAGAAGAATGATCTTTTGTCAACGTTTTCTTAAGAACGACTTAAACATTGGGAATAATGGACTACAATATCAATATCAATATTCGAAATAATGCACTATATTTAATACAGTTACACATATTATATGTCTCTTTAAAAAATATCAATAAAAAATTGCAATTATTAGTTTTTAGTACAAGCAAAAATTTTATTTTTGAAATAAATAGTTGAAAATTTTATTCAAAATATAAATTTATTGATGTCGGTTATTTGCACGTAATGTTTAAGTTCATGCAATTTGCCTTAAGGCTAAATACTGCATTCACTTAGTTGATATTTGACTTTATTGAAAATCTGAAACAAAATTGTTGTTTTATTTTACATTATTACAAATTTAGTAAACTTATTATTTATTAGTCACTCGTCAAATATATAATGTTACCTAACTGAAATGAAACAAAATGATTATTGAATCTTATGTTTATTAATTTAAAATTCATAATTACTCTTAAGAATGCTAGTAATAGAAAGTATTAAAATATAAATAAATTTCTATTTAAGCACAAATTCCCACACAAGTTACTTATAATTATTATTTATTATTATTGTTAATATTATTGTCATTTTTATTATTATTGTCATTATTTGATTATCATTCATTCATTAAGCACATATAATTATTATTTTTAGTTTACATAATGGCGTTATTCAATTATGGGATTATCGTATGTGCACATTACTGGACAAATTTGATGAACACGATGGGCCTGTGCGTGGAATATGTTTTCACAACCAACAACCACTCTTTGTCTCTGGAGGAGATGATTATAAAATAAAGGTTTATATTTTTTACTTTTGTGTAACAATTTAGAGGTAAAACATAATCATTTTTTATAATCTACAATTATGGCAAGGCAACCAAACTTAGAATACAAAATATTTAAATTTCAATTACCTCTATTAAAAAAAGAATAGTTTTCAATATAAATGATAAGAATCATAATTATGTATAGTTTAAAAGTTCAAAAATATTTTACTGAGTCTGGGTTAAAAAAAGGGTAAAGTAATCACTGATTAAAAAAAATATGACTAAATATTCTATACAATTTTGAACAGGTTTGGAATTACAAGCAAAGGCGCTGTATATTTACATTATTAGGTCATTTGGATTACATTCGCTCCACGCTATTTCATCATGAATATCCTTGGATACTGAGTGCTTCTGATGATCAGACTATTCGTATATGGAATTGGCAATCTCGAACATGCATATGTGTGCTTACTGGCCACAACCACTATGTTATGTGTGCCATGTTCCATCCAACTGAAGATACATTGGTGTCAGCTTCTTTAGATCAAACTGTTCGAGTTTGGGATATTTCTGGTAATCAGTTTTGACATATTATTTTTTTAATGATTTTAGTAATAAGTTTATTTATTAATCTATACCATAGTATGTTAATTCCATTCATAAAAGTTATGAAATATGAATAGTCTACATTGTGCACTTTTATATAAATATTTATATGTACAGGTTTAAGAAAAAAGAATGTAGCACCTGGACCCGGTGGTTTGGAAGATCATCTTAAAAATCCTGGTGCTACCGATTTATTTGGCCAAGCTGATGCTGTTGTAAAATATGTATTAGAAGGTCATGACAGGGGTGTTAATTGGGCACATTTTCATCCAACTTTGCCTTTAATCGTCTCAGGTGCTGATGATAGACAAATTAAGCTTTGGAGGATGAATGAGTATAAGGTATAATATTTATCCATAGGAAAAATATGTTACTTGTAATAAAACAATTATCTTTTGGATTAATTTCATATATATATATATATATATATATATATATATAAATATATATATATACATATAATTTAAAATGTATGTAATATTATTAATCTTATTTTTTAATGTTTAAATACTTTCACACAGGTATATCATTTTTATTTTAAATTTTTATTCGTCTTCAAACTCTTATTGAGTGTGATAATTTTTATTTTAGGCATGGGAAGTTGATACTTGCCGAGGACATTACAATAATGTCTCTTGTGTCTTATTTCATCCAAGGCATGAGTTAATTATATCTAACAGGTATATCATGATATTCAAAAACTTTAAATACTACTACATTTTTACTAATAACTTGATACTAGTAAATTTACTTGAAAAATTATATTATATACCTTCTACTTATTCTTTAATTTTTTCATTCAAATTTTCAGACATTAATTTAAAATTTTCATTTTATATTTATGACTTTTACTATAACATGTTCATTAACTCTCCATTTGTAAGTTTATTATTAATTGTTATATACAATATATTTCAGTGAAGACAAAAGTATCCGAGTTTGGGATATGACCAAAAGAACATGTCTACATACATTCCGTCGAGAACATGAAAGATTTTGGGTTCTTGCTGCACACCCCACATTAAATTTATTTGCTGCTGGTCATGATACTGGGATGATTGTGTTTAAGGTATCATATTTTATAATATCAAGAGTTTAATTATACCTAAATTAGTGAATTAATTTATTCATTTATTAATATAATTATGTAATTATTGCTTCATCCAGATCTCAATCATTTGAAGACTATTTTTATGGAATTTTTTAAGGATTTTATTGTGCAATACTAAGAGACGGACTTTGAACTTTGTACAGATTTTTATAAGAGAAAATAATTATATTTTTATTGAGAAAAGAAATTCCTATAATATTTTAAAAATATGTGGTTATATATTTTAGTTGGAAAGAGAGAGACCGGCATATGCAGTACAAGGCAATATGTTGTTCTATGTGAAAGATCGCTTTGTACGCAAACTAGATTTCACCACTTCTAAGGACTCACCAGTTATGCAAATTCGTGGCGGTGGAAGGGTTCCACTTTATAGGCAATTATTTATTTGTATTACAATATGATTAATTAATTTTGAATGTTTGAGTTGCCAGATTAATTGTCATTAGACCTCCAAAAATTAAAAATCCTGGTAATAAGAAATAAGAAGTAATTGTTTTTGTATTGTAGTAGTAGTAGGTTCTCTTATAATTAGTTATTAAGAAAAAACTGTTTTGAATCTCACACATGTTTTTGTTTTTAACATTCTTTAAAATTTATTTTGATTTTATATTTTCTAGTATGTCCTACAATCCAGCTGAGAATGCAATACTACTTTGCACTCGCACCACTTGTTTGGAGAACAGTACATACGATTTATATTCTATGTCAAAAGACTCAGATTCATCAAGTTCAGAAACTGAAAGTAAAAGATCTTCGGGAATAACTGCTCTTTGGGTTGCTCGTAACAGATTTGTTGTTCTAGACAGGGCAAATCAGGTAGGTAAAGTTTGTTATCTCTAAATGATAAATTATATTTATTCTACCTATTTAACATGACTAATTTTAATACCAAAACATTACATTTCCACATTTTTCAATCTTTTTCACAAAGTTTATGCTTAATTTAAAGTTAAAGTATTTGTTTTAATTGAATTATGTTTAGTACACGAATATACCCTATTTCATACTAATAAAATTAATGAATATACTTTAATATATTTTTTGGATATTTCACAGCTCGTAATAAAAAATTTGAAAAACGAAGTTACCAAAAAGGTTCAGACACCTGGGTGTGATGAAATATTCTATGCTGGCACAGGAATGCTCCTTTTACGGGAACCAGATTGTGTTACTATGTTTGATGTTCAACAGAAGAGGTAATAATTACAAAAACCTAAATAATCTTTTTTTTAACTTATATTTATTATAAATATATTTATTATAATTACTTACTAAACGTAAGTGTGCCATATTCTGGTACATTAAAGAATGTCTGACTTTAAAGATGATTTTCAGAAAAAGTAGGAAAGTGAATGAAATAAAAGTGTTCTATTTGGTATTTTGATGAACTACAAGTTTGTTTCTAATTCTGTGATAAATTTTGGCGCCTGACATAATTCTGTACAACGCTGTACACTATTCCGTGATAGCGCCTTGATAAATGTTCTTGAATGAATTACAAAACATATAGTCACTAAATAATAACACTTCGATATAATTTCAAACACATATTTTTATAGAAACTCTGATTCAAAATGTATTGATCATATCTTTTTATTATTATATCCAAAAATGTATTGATTATATATTATTTGCAGATCACTTGCTCAGGTAAAAATTTCAAAGTGCCGATATGTAGTCTGGTCCAATGACATGTCACATGTGGCTTTATTAGCAAAACACACTGTCACAATTTGTAATCGCCATCTGGAAACACTTTGTTCAATTCACGAAAATACGAGAGTGAAATCAGGGGCTTGGGATGAGAGCATGGTTTTCATTTACACAACAAGTAATCATATCAAATATGCCATAAGCAATGGGTAAGCATTACAGAAAAATTAGTATTCTACATTGTTATTGTATTTAACCTAAACAATTTTGAATTATTGAATATTTTGTCAAAAACAATTTAGATATTGTCCTGCTGCTGTACTTGTATATATTTTAACAATGATAGTTGAAAAAGTCTTAATAATTACTCCTAAATTTATTACATTTCATTTTTAATTTTTTGTTGATGTAATTTATTTTTTTTCATGAATATATATTTTTAGTGAATTATTAAAAAACCAAACTTTACACTGATATTTTTAAAATTTTAAAGAATTCTATTTATATTTGAAAGTTTTTACTTTTAATTTTTCCATAGTCATGAATATACAGATGCACGCATGGATACAAACTTTAAAAACTGCTGACTTTTTAGAATATTGACTTTGTATTGACAGTATGAATAAGTGCTTGATTTTTAGCACTTCCAATGTTATGAAGGAATAAGTGCAAAAATCAGTTTGCATGCAATGAAAATTATCTTATAAACAAATGGTTTTTATTATGAATTACACTTACAACTTCTAGACTATTTATAAGAATTTTTTAATTTCTTGAGTGATACCAAGTGTTTTAAGCCTGTTAATTATTGATTTTGGATTGTTTTATATATGATCCAAGGTTTTGTTCTAAATTTTATTATATATTAATTACCAAATAAATTATTAGACCTCAGAATGTTATTAATATCTTAAATATAATATAGGGATCATGGTATAATAAGAACTTTGGATCTACCTATCTATATTATACGAGTCAAGGGAAATCAAGTATTTTGCTTAGACCGTGAATGCCGTCCTCATGTTCTAAATATTGATGCAACAGAATATAAATTCAAACTAGCTCTTATAACCAGAAAATATGAAGAAGTATTACATATGGTGCGCAATGCTCGACTAGTTGGCCAAAGTATTATTGCATATTTGCAACAGAAGGGCTATCCTGAAGTAGCTTTACATTTTGTCAAAGATGAGAAAACAAGATTTGGTTTAGCTCTGGAATGTGGAAATATTGAGGTTGCTCTTGAGGCAGCCAAATGTTTGGATGATAAAGCATGTTGGGAGCGTTTGGGTAATGTTGCATTGTTGCGTGGAAATCACCAAGTTGTTGAGATGTGTCATCAACGAACTAAAAATTTTGAAAAGTTATCATTTTTGTATTTGATTACTGGAAATCTGGAAAAATTAAAGAAAATGACTAAGATTGCTGAAATAAGAAAGGATACACCAGCACAATATCAAGGGGCTTTAACTTTGGGGGATGTTCCAGAAAGAATTAAGATACTGAGCTCTAGAGGTTTGTTTGGACTTGCATTTTTAACTGCTGCCACTCATGGTTATCATGATGTAGCGTCAGAACTAGCATCAACAATACAAGAGAGTGGTCAAACCTTGCCAGAAATTAACCCAAATGCCAAATTCTTATGCCCACCAATGCCAATTCAACAAGCAGAAACAAATTGGCCACTACTTACTGTTTCAAAAGTAAGTACTTTTTGTATTTAAAATACTGTAAAACAAGTTTTCTAATATATAATTGATACCATAATAATCATTAGTCCATGATTGACCAAGATAATTGGTTAATTTTCACATAGAAAAAGTTTTTGCAATTTATCAAAATAAAAGAATTAAGATATATATATATATATATATATATATATATATATATATATATAATATAATTATATAATTTTTCTCTATTGATGATTTGGAAAAGAAAGCTAGTTTCAACTGTAGAAGATTAAACAATCATCCTAAACTCAGTCAAACCAAATTCCAATTTTCAAAGTTCAGATTTTTGTAAAGAGTCTATGTATTTGTATGTTTTAAATTTTTTTTATCTATTCAACTGAATTCGTTGTATAATAATAAATGTTTACAAATGTTTCAGGGATTCTTTTCTGGAGCTGTTTTCACTCGTGATACTGCCAATATACATCAGGCACTTGCCGCTGAGTCTGCTCTTGATGCTCCTGCTGAAGGTTGGGGAGAAGATGCCGAATTGGGTCTCGATGATGAAGATAACGAATTTAAGGAGGCAATCGAAAATCCAGAGAACACTGAAGGCCCCGGATGGGATGTAGATGATGAAGATTTAGAATTACCAGAAGAGCTGGCTCCAGCTGGTGGTCAAGATACCGATTCCTACTTTGTTCCACCAGTTAAAGGTATATCACATACGCAGTACTGGATTAATAATTCACAACTGCCGGTGGATCATGTGCTAGCTGGATCGTTTGAGAGTGCATTTAAGTTGCTGAACGAACAGGTAAAGAAATCAATAACTATGATTTTGTACTATTGGATATGAAAAGTTACCATTTTTACCCAAGATTCAGCCCGGAAAATCTCAATATATATCATATTTTTAGATATATGCAAATTAATTCATTATTTAAGAATAAAAACTACTTTGATTAAATTTATCTTTTGAAGAAAAAAAAAAACCATAAACATGAAGCAAACATAAAAGTAGTGAGTTCTATTTTGCGGTGGAAATAACAACTTTTCTGTGGGATCTCAATAATCGTTTTTTTTTTTCAAACTACAAATTTTTGCTACCAATATGTTTTAAAATAGATTCAATATTGTGTTTGTAAAACTAATACAAATTTAATTAATTTATTACTAATTTGAATAATGATTTGAAGTTAAGAGTTTGAAGTTATTTTGTTCTATTAATGATTGACATTAACTATCCAATAGAAATGTTTATACATAGAAATGTTCTACATGTTTTTTTGTAAAACAACATATACGTAATTTTTTTTTTCAGATTGGCGTTGTAAACTTTGAACCACTTAAGTCCTTATTCCTTAGCACATACTCCCGTTCCAGAATGTCCTATTCAGCCTTCCCAAATTTATTATCATTGTATGCCTTTCCTCAAAGAAATTGGAAGGACACAGTTCCCAAAAATGGATTGCCTGCAATTGGTTTGAAATTAAATGATTTGGTGCAATTATTACAAATATGCTATCAATTGACTACTAGTGGAAGATTTGTTGAAGCTGTTGAAAAATTACAAACGTTGTTATTAAATATACCTCTTCTTGTGGTTGATAGCAAGCAGGAAATTGCAGAAGCCCAACAACTTCTACAGATATGTAGGGAATATATATTAGGTCTGAAAATGGAAACACACCGTAAAGGTATGCCTAAAAGTACTTTGGAAGAACAAAAGCGTTTATGTGAAATGGCGGCATATTTCACACATTGCAATTTGCAACCTGTACATCAAATCTTAACACTTAGAACAGCACTAAATATGTTCTTTAAACTGAAGAATTACAAAACGGCAGCATCTTTTGCAAGAAGGCTTTTAGAATTAGGCCCAAGGCCTGAAGTTGCGCAACAAGCCAGGAAAATATTACAGGCTTGTGATAAAAACCCTGTTGATGAGTTTCAGTTGGAGTATGATGAACAAAATCCTTTCAATTTATGTGGAATTTCTTATAAACCTATATATCGAGGTAAACCAGAGGTGAAATGTCCTTTATGTGGTACTTGCTATATGCCACAGTTTTCAGGTATGTTATGTACAGTATGCGCAGTAGCGGAAATAGGAAAAAGTTGTTCTGGTTTGAAAATATCCGTTTCACAGTTTAGATAAATTGCAAGTAACCAATCATTGTATTTTCAATATAAATTACTGCAAGCAATAATATATAAAATGTGAAATTTATATTCAAATTTGATATAAAAATAATGTCTTTATATTGTAAGATAATTTTATCAATTTAGTTTTAAGATTTTATTATAATTTTCATAAATGAATAAATATATAGTTTATATTATATGCACAGCGTTACATTTTAAATTAAGCTAAACATATAGATTAACTTAAAGTCATTTAATTTATTAACATAAATACCTGGATTCTAGGACTTTAATAGTCAGTCTGTTATAAAGCTAGAGCGATATTTATTCTTACTAGAAAATGTGGATAAAAAATATGTTTCAAAAGTCATAGTCAGAGCATGCTTATGTTTCAAAAGGCAAAGAGCATGCCATTGTTGTATTTAATTTTATTAGGGGATATTTAAGATGGGTAACACTCAGCAGGTAAAAAAGTAGATAGACAGGTAGGCAGGTAGATCATATACAAATCAAATGATTATTGATTAAGTTGATTATTTGCACATATCTGGAAGTTAATGCAACTTGCCACAAGGCGAAATGTCACTAACTACTTTAATTTTTTATTTATAAATATATTTTATACGATCCTGGAAAATAGCATGTCCCCTTCTTTATGAACTCTAAATTATTGAAATCAATTTTTTTTTCATGAAACGGTCACTGAAAACGGAAATATATATATATATATATATATATATATATATATATATATATATATACTAGCTGACTCGGCAAACGGTGTTTTGCCATAAAAAATATTTTTGGTATAAAATGTTTAGTATAAAAATAACTGATTCCAAAATATATAACAAAACATATATGAATAGTTTGCAAAGCACGCCACTTATAAAGGTTTCTAGATCATATTAATAGTCTTTGCAAGAGCCAACTTAATTTGTAAATGATTCTATAAATTAAATTAGCACATTTCAAGTTTCAGATTTTGAAATATTTTTATGGCGCTTTTCATTAATTCATTTATTTTTGAATTCAGCAAATTGACTGAGATTGGAAAAAATTGAGAAAGTAAAAAAAATCAGCTTCACCATAAAGTTGTATGGTATTCCTATCAAAAACTGTTGTATCTTCAGATTTTAATATTCAATCTCTCTATTTTTTTTTTTTTTACAAAAATTGCTCTTTACGCAAGCAAACTATGTGCTGTTTGTGCATTGGGAAATATTTGTACAATGGGAAAATGGGAGGGGCGGACAACCCATGATAAAAACTGACTGAATGGTGGAAACTTATTCCATTACTAAAATGGCTGTTATGAAATAGAGATTTGTGAAGGGTAAAAGGGTAAAAATATAAAATTGTATGCATTTTTTAATTCCGCATTATGAAAATTAAATTAAAGGAAAATTGATTCCTAGATTTAAAAAAAAGTTAGGGGCGGACAATCATTGATAAAAATAAATAGTTTTTTGAAGTAAAAAGAGTTGTATGTATTGCCCTCGCCAAAAATAAATTGTTTTTTGAAGTAACATTGGAGCATTTTCATGAACCAGAAAAAAAAATCAACTAAAATATGATCAACCCCATACAGCACGGGTCAAACAATGGTCGACCTGTTTGGTACCATTTACAGCCTACCGGGTTATTATAAGCCCATTATGGGCCAATTTATGACGCAGTGGGCTTAGACCCATACGTTACGCGCCGGGTCAAACAATGGTCGACCTACTCTGACCCATTACTCACCGAGTTGTTATGGGCAAATGAAAAATGTATTCAAATATACCGCGCATGCGCATACGCGTGCGCGGCGTTTGCACAACTAGCGCACAGATGGCGGCACTTATGTTGTTCGGCATTTGTATTTCTTTGTCTGTTCTCATGACTGTCATAGATAAACACGATGAACAAATATAACCTGAGTACTGTATACGTATACTTATGCTACTAAAATTCTAAACAATATTAGAATATAATATATTCGTAATTTGTTTGTCGTTTGACTCTGTAATTTGTCAAAAAAAATTCTATAAATATATATGTCTGATAAAAAAATTCGCAAACACATTGCGACTGTGTCAGATAGACATTTTTATAGAAGACTTTTTTGGGAAGTGCAGAAATTACGTTCGGAAAGTGTTTTGCAGAACTCTGAATGCGTAAAGGATTGCCTAGTACTAGTGCTTTTACAATAGATAATATTGAAACTGCGACTAATGCTTCTATTGGAGATGACTTTGAAGGACCGTCTTCTTGCCAGGCAGAGTTACAGGGTGATGTTGAAACAAATGATTATATTTCTCTTTCATATAGCGAGGATAGTTCCAATGAAGATATAACTGAAGTTTTTGATGCAAGACAATTTTTAGCAGACTGGGTTGTGAATTGTCAGATACCTCATAATGCTGTATTCGCACTACTTGAAGGGCTAAAACTTCATGATTGTTTCAGTGATTTACCAGCAGATAGTAGAACACTTCTGAAAACAAAAAGAACTGCTGTATCAAAAGTTGTAAGTCCAGGTGAATATATTCATTTTGGTTTATTAACTGGATTGAAAGATTCTATTGATAGGTTGAAATTGATATCTTCTATCATTGAATTAGAAATTAATGTAGATGGTTTGCCTCTCTCGAATTCTTCGAACATGTCAGCTTGGTCTATTAAGCACTGAGGGTTTTGATCACAATGGGAAACAATATAAGGTACGCATCAAATATTTTGTTTGTGATACTCCCGCCAAATCATTTATATTGCAGAAAAGGGACACACAGGCTGCTTCTGTTGCTCGAAATGTCTTGCTCGTGGTTCAAATATTAATCGCAGAATTTGCTTTCCAAAAATGCAATCACCTGCAAGAACAGCTGAACACTTTCGAAGCTTAGAAGATGAAGACTACCACAATGGCTATACGAGATTGCTTGAAATACCGTACATTTGTTTAGTTACTAATGTACCACTTGACTATATGAATTTGATTTGTTTAGGAGCAGTTAAGAGATTGATGCTTTTGTGGACTGAAGGTGAGCTTCCAATTCGTTTGCCATGTGCTAAAACTAATGACTTTTCCAATTTTTTATGCAGCTTAAAGATTTATATATCCAAGGACTTTGCTAGGAAGCCTCGATCATTGAAATATATGAGACCATGGAAAGCTACAGAATTTAGACAATTATTATTGTATAGTGGTCCAGTAGTTTTGAAATCTCATGTCATATTTCAAATGACTTTTATAAAAATTTTCTTACTTTACATATTGCTATTAAAATTTTATGTAGCAACACGTTATTAAATGATCTTTTAGATTATGCTCAGCAACTACTTCATCATTTTGTTGAAAGATTTAAGGTTTTATATGGAGATCATTATGTAAGTCATAATATATATAACATTTTACACTTAGCTAATGACACCAGAAGTTTTGGTACACTTGATTCATTTAGTGCCTTTAAATTTGAGAATTACATGCAGGTCTTGAAAAAATACATACGGAAGTCAGAGAAACCATTGCAGCAAAGTTATGAAAGATACTTTGAGGTAAAAGAACTTTTTATGGGAAAACATGTAAGGCCTGTAGCCATGCCTAGAGCTTGTGAGATGTCTATGCATTTCGAAGGACATTTGATAGAATATTGTGGTAAACCTCAGTATAAGGTTGTATATTGTTCAGATTTTACATTCAATATTAATAAAAAGGCTGATTCATTACGGCACCAGGTTTTAATGAATATAGGCTTAATAAGCAGTGATGCCAGTGTGATATGAAGGATGATTTGCCTGATTATACACTGGCAGTTTATAATAAATTTCCTGTTCGGACAGAGGCAGAACTGCTAGATGTGGAGCAGCTATTGACAGATGTGAGAATAGCAGAGATATCGCTAAATATGATGTTACCCAATGGATAAAAGTGGACAAATCAATTATATATACTGCTAAATATACATATACCGTCATGCCCATGACAGATTTATTTGCATTTTTCCGTAAGTTGAAATATATTCCACATATTTCGAAAATGTCAACTAACATTTTTTATTTGATAAAATAAACCTGTAAAACTATAATTCAAATTTTGTTATTTTCAGTGCTTTAGAAGATGGTGAACCCAATGTGAATAATTAGTTTAAATTATATAAATAATAATAATACTATACATAGAAAATAATAGGTTTTAGGATAATAATCACCAAAAATTTAGTTAAGTTAGTTTAATTTAGTTATTTTCTAGTAATGTAAATGAAATTATTTTTAATAAATATATTACTTATGGAGTTGCAGTTTTAGCTCATTTGATTTTTATAACTATATGGATTATTTATATTTAATACAAATACGCACGGAAAGTATGCAACAATTGTTGCACTATATACCGCCATTTTGACCCATCGCGATACCATTCCAGCCCCATAGCATACCCGTATTGAACCCGGCGGGTTGACCATGGGTCAAACCAGGGCTCTGACATATGTGCCGCCATGGGTTCACCTATGTTCATATATGGTACCAGTGGGTTGACCATAGGTTAACCCTACAGCCCATTGTGACGACCATAGGTTGACCCTATGTCAACCATGTGCTGTGTGGGACGTTTATATTTATTTACATAAAAAGTAAATAAACAGAACCTAATAAAGCGAAATTAGAATCAATGGCATTGTCTAGTATTAACACTTTCCACTCGCAAATTCCGAGATTTATATGGATTTTGTCGACGGAGCGGCGGTATCCGAGTCGAAAGGGTAAATTTATAAGAATTATATAAACTAAAGTCATTTAATTGAAGTATATAAGTAAGTTTAAGAACTTAAGATAGAATTAAAATTAAAATCTGATTTATTTTCGATATCAAATTTTTTTTTTGTAAATTAAAAAAAAGGTAATTTTGAAATATATTTTTTTCAACAAAAACAATTGTTTTATTAATAGCAAAGTTTTTTGATTCATTCAAATCGGATGCTTAGATCTCTCAAAAACTGCCGTTTTTGCACATTTAGCTCTGTATCTCCGAAAAGGCTGGACCTGCCTTTGCCAAAAACTAATCACCACTTCTC